GTTTGAATTACCCTTCGAATAAAGCAAACGTGGTAGCTGATGCATTGAGTAGAAAATCTTCGCGTATACCGATAATGATGGTAAAAGAGTTAGAACTGATTGAGCAATTTAGTGATATGAGTTTGGTTTGTGAAGAGACTTCTTATGGAGTTAAGCTTGGTATATTGAAGCTTACTAGTGGTATTCTTGATGAGATTCGAGAAGGTCAGAAATCTGATTTGAGTTGGTAGATCAGTTGAATTTGATGAATCAAAGTCGAAGGGCTGATTTTCGGATTAATGAAAATGGTATCACGAGATGTCGTGATAGAGTTTGTGTTCAAGATATTGTTGAGTTGAGAAAGAGTATTCTTGAGGAAGGACATCGAAGTAGATTGAGTATCCATCCCAGTGCTACGAAGAGGTACCATGATTTAAGGAAATTGTTTTGGTGGCCAGGGATGAAGAAAGAAGTGGTTGAGTTTGTGTATGCTGGTTAGACTTGTCAGAAGTCGAAGATTGAACATCAAAAAGCATTGGGTTTGATGCAACCGTTGAATATTCCAGAGTGGAAATAGGATAGTATTTCCATGGATTTTGTGTCGGGTTTGTCGAAGACTGTGAGAGGGAATGATTCTAATTGGGTGATTGTGGATAGATTGACTAAATTAGCTCATTTCTTACCCATGAGGATTAATCATTCTATGTTGAAGCTAGCTGAGATGTATATTGAGGAAATTGTGAAGTTGCATGGGATACCGTAGAGTATTGTGTCAGATGGAGATCTGAGATTTACATCGAGATTCTAGAAGAGTTTGCAAGATGCTTTGGGTACCATGTTGAGATTGAGTTCTGCCTATCATCCGCAGACGGATGGACAGAGAGAGAGAATTGTCCAGTCTTTAGAGAATTTGCTTAGAGCTTGTATGTTGGATCAAGGTGGATCGTGGGATAGTCATTTGTCGTTTATTGAGTTCACCTACAATAACAATTATCATTCTAGTATTGGAATGACACTGTATGAAGCATTGTATGGTAGGAGATGTATGACTCCTTTGTGTTGGTATGAGTCAGGCGAGAGTGTTATGCTCGAACTTGAGATTGTTCACCAGACGACTGAAAAGATCAAGAGGATCCAAGAAAAGATGAAAGTTCCGCAGAGTCGTCAAAAAAATTACCATGACAAGAGGAGGAAAGCAATTGAGTTTTAAGAGGGAAATCACATGTTTTTAAGAGTTACGCCGGTAATTGGTGTTGGCCGAGTTTTGAAATCTCGAAAGCTCAGAACATGTTTTGTTGGTCCGTATCAGATTTCGCAGAAGGTGAGAGGAGTAGCATACCGAATTGCTTTACCGCCGTCGCTTGCGAATTTGCATGACGTGTTTCATGTGTCTCAGTTGAGGAAGTACATTCCAGATCTGTCACATGTGATTCAGATGGATGATGTACAAGTGAGAGATAATTTGACTGTTAAGGCATTGCCAGTACGAATTGATAAACGGGAAGTGAAGCAACTGCGAGGTAAAGAGATTTCCTTGGTAAAGGTAGTTCTAGGAAGACCAGTTGGAGAAAATTGGGCTTGGGAGCGTGAGGATCAGACGAGGGAGTCATATCCGACTCTGTTTCCTTGAGGTAATTTTCGAGGGCGAAAATTCTTTTAAGCGGGGGAGAGTTGTAAAACCTCAAATTTTTGGAATATTTATTTAATTTATTTAAATATGAATATTTGTATTTTTGGTGGTTTGTGTGAATATTGGGAATTATGGAGTTTTGAGTTATTTTATTTAAATAATAGTATATAATATGAATATATTTGGTATTATTATTAATTTAAATAAATATAAGTTAATTTAAGGGCAAAGTGGACATTTGAGAAGAAGTTAGTGAGGGTGAAATTGGAAAGCCCATTTTAAAGGTCCAAAGTTAGGTTTAACAAAAAGGAATTTTGAGGGAATTAAGATTCATTCTTGTTAGACCGTGAAAAGTGAAGAAAAAGAGACCAGAGCTCTGAGGGAAGAGGATAGAGGCATGAGGTTTCCAAGAACTCAAAGGAGAAAGGTTTGGAATTGGCAAATTAAGGTATGAGGAGTATTACATTCATTGTTTTCAATATATGATTCAATGTATTTAAAGCTGATTTAAGGATTTAGGAGATTTTTGAGTTTGAGAAAGTTAGGCCTTCGTGGCCAAATATGTTTTTGTGGTTGTTTAAGTATGAGGAGTATTGCCTTCATTATTTTCAATATGTGATTCAATGTGTTTAAAGCCGATTTAAAGGTTTAGAGATTTTTGAGGATTGAATTGTTGTTGCCTTTCTGGTGAGGAGTTCAATGAGTTTGAGGATTTGAACCGATGGTCTGATAGGTTTGATGTTGATTTGAGAGTAAGGAAAATTAGGCCTTCGTGGCCAAATCTGTTGTTGAGGTTTTAACCGTGTAGGATAAGGGATTATGAGAACTCTAATGAATGTGGGGAATTTGTAAGGATTTATGGGAATTGGAGGCGTAAATATGATACAGGATTGGCCTAATAAGTCGTACATTTTGTGCCTTTAACGCCGTAATACCTTAGGAATAATTTAGGGATGTTTTTGAGGCATTAGGGAAGGAAATCGTAGGGACTTTTGGGCTGGTTTTGGTGCTGGTGCGTAACAATATTTTGCTGTAATCGTACGTTCGCACAGCAAATGATCCTTCGCACGACGAACACTCGCCTCAGACTCGCACATCGAACGTAGCAGAGTTTCTCGAATTATGTTCTGGTTCAGTGATGTCTTGATGTCTTGATGTTTTGATGCTGTGATTTTCTTGATGAATTACCATGAGTATAATTGTGATTCCTATGTGATTAAATGAATGTATGATGAATTATTATGAGTATAGCTGTGATTTCTATGTGTTTAATACATGATCATATGATAAGTTACCATGAGTATAACTGTGATTCTTATGTGATTAAATAAATGTATGATGAATTACTATGAGTATAGCTGTGATTCCTATGTGATTAATATATGACTGTATGATGAGTACCCATGAGTATAATTGTGATTCTTATAAGATTAATACATGATTGCATGATGAATCCCCATGATGAACTGTGATGATTTGTGACGTTGATTCCATGAGATTTTGATGATTCTATGATGACATGATTCTTATGATTATTTTGATGAATGATGATGCACCTAATGAGATTATTATGAGGATGATATTGACGTGTGTATCATGCATTCATATGCATTCTGGACTTCGGTCTAGTGTTTGATTCTTGTGGCTTCAGTCACATTGTGCGGATGTGAAGTATTTTGTTGTGCTCTGGTTCTTGTGCAGAATTGATCCTATTGATGGGGATCTATGGAGGGTTGATGACCCAGTGTCCATCGAATTTTGTTGAATTGGTACCACATACATGAGTCTTGTTGCATTTGTATTTATATGACAATTTGGTGTAATTTATGATATTATGACTTTTTGATGTTTCCTTGATGATTATGATGATGTTGAATAAGAAAATGACGTTATTTTATATATTGATTATTATGAATGATTTTACTCACTCTGCCTGTTTGAATGTTACATCCACGTGGGTAACGTACAGATGACCAGGTTTAGCCGTGGATGTCGTCGATGATTTTTTGACATTTTGCTTGACTTAGAGGGTCTTGCTCTGATAGTGTAACATCAGGTTGAGGTCTTTGAGTTAAACCATGTTTTATTGTTTTTTGTTATTTTGATTACGTTGTTGTGCAAGGAAAACTTTGAATTTGCCTTTTTGAGTTCCGCTGCCATTTGAGCAATTTTTTAGTAATTTTGGGAAAATCCATTGTTACGAAGCACTGACTTTAAGTTGAATTATTGAGAAATATACACCCTTTGAGGTGATTTTTATTGTGTTTAAAATATTACTCTGATAAATGTGATTGATTTGCCATTATATTTTTGTGGTAGAAAAGGGTGTTAGACATAGCTCCACCAAAGATAAAATATTTAGGAGAGTTCACAAACTGATCTGAAACTGCACTGTACTCTAAAAAAACAGTCATAAGAATATTGATATTCGACACGCTGCCCTTGCAAAAAATAAGCACATCATCCGCATATAAAATATGAGATGGAACCAAAAGATTCCTAGGACCCTTCATGACAGCCAGCGACCTAGAATCGACCAAAAGACTAATACTTCTGCTCAGGACCTCCTCGGCGAGACAGAACAATAGAGGAGAGCGGATCCCCTTGGCGGACCCCTCTGGTACAGTTAAAATAACCATGGAGAGACTCATTAACGAATATCAAAACCTAAGCACATTTAAGAATACTCAAAATCCAATTACAAAAAGTGCTATTAAACCCAAACTTCTGCAGCACTTTGATAAGAAATTGCCAATTGAGCGTATCGAATGCCTTAGTAATATCCATCTTGAGAGCCACATTCCCACACTAAGAATTAGAATCCAGCAAATTAAAAGATTCTGATGCCAACCTAATACAATCCTTTAAGTTCCGGCCTTGAATGAAACCCTGTTGTTCTTGGGAGACTAAATGGGACATTAACGGCGCAAGTCTCACCACAATTATTTTGGAGATGATCTTGATTTTAAAATTAGAAAGAGCAATGAGACTAAATTGATCCAATAAATCCTCACCTGAGCATTTTGGAATAAGCATTGAGGAATTGGAATTGAATCCCTTAATAAACCAACCGTTAGCAAAGAATTGAAGAACAGCCGCTGAAACGTCCATCTTAATAATCTCCCAAAAGCTTTGATAAAAATTTACACCAAAACCGTCAGGGCCGGACGCACTGTCCGAATTAAGGGAAAAATCGCCCCTTTGATCTCCTCCAAAGAAGGCAACAAAGTGAGTAAAGCATTCATATCATTAGTTACCAAAGTTGGAATGACCTTGTCCATCAAAGAGAAGTCCTGCAAAATAGAAACATTAGGAGCAAACAAATTCTGATAAAAATCCACAGCGTGTAAAGCAATGGTCTCCGGAGTCGAAAAAGTATCAACACCGTTCTTCAGAACAGAGATAGGTTTGAGGGAGTTTCAAATTTTAGAAACTCGATGAAAAAAACAGTGTTACGATCTCCTCCAAGGTGCCACTTAAGACGCGGTTTTTCCATCCAAAAGGCTTCCTCCATATTTAGAGCACTATTGAGAGCATCTTGCACCTCCAATTCTTGCTTAAGGAAGGCTTCATCCATCCCTGTAGACAAATTCTGAGCCTGAGTTTTCTCCAAGTTTGCTTCCGCCAGCAAAACATTCTGCGATACAATACCAAAAATGGACCGATTCCAGCCTTTAAGGGAGATTTTGAGCAGTTGGAGCTTCCTGCAAAGAACCCACATCGGGAAGCCAACAACTCGAACTTTCCAACAATCTTGAATAATTTTGCTACAATCCTTATGCAGGCACCAAGTTTTTAAAAACTTGAAATGGTTCACAAACTTATAAGATGAATGAATACTGAACTCCAACAAAATGGGAAAATGATCAGAATTGAGTTTGGGGAGAGTGGTAACAAAGGTGCTATCTCAAGAGTGCAAGCAACTTAAATAAACAATGCCTCGATCGAGACGGCGCTCTATGAAATAAGGAGGCGCCCTTTTGTTGGACTAAGTGAAAAAAGCTCTTTGAGTAGGGAGATGAATAAGCTTATTCAAATCTGTCAAAGCCTGAACGTCAAGAATAGGACCTTTAGCTGGAGCATTTTGACCACCATATTCATGGGCACCCAAAATTGCATTGAAATCGCCAATGAAATTCCAAGGGAGAGGATGCTGAACATGTAACTCAGTGAGATCCTTCCAAAGCTCTTTTCTCTTGTATAACGAAGTAGACGCATAAACCGTAGCAGAAGCCAACAACTTATGATCCAACACAAAAGAAAAAGCAACAAATTGATCTGAGAAGTTAATAATATTAGGATCAAACCCAGCCTTGCAGAAGCACCACAAAGATTTATTGAAATAAAACAACTTAAATCCCAGCTTCAGAAATCAATTATTCGAAATTTTGTCAAAAGTACTTTTTAGGTCCTGCTTGAGACCTTGTACCGTATTTTTGTTTCTGAATCGAATGAGACTGTTTCTTCTTCAAATTAGAACTGCAGCACAAAAAGCCCCATTATCATTGTTGTTGATAACAGGAAGAGAATCTCCATCAACCTCCTCAAGAGCCACCCAAGAGTTCATCAGTATCCTTATCCTTAGACATCACAGTTTCATCAGTAAATTGAACAATTTGTTGAACTGCCAGTGTAGCTTCAACGCATTCCAAACAAGAGTCCGACTCCACCGACGGATGAGACACAAAATTAGGAGGAGCCTGAGGAACATCATGAGCAGCAGTGCCAAAGATGAGTAAATTAATATTTTCACTTATTTATTTAGTTAATTTTATTTATTTAAATATTTATAAAGTTTCTATGTTAGATTGGCTTTATTTATGTATTTCGTTGATTTTATGAATTAAAGGATGTAATACGAGTTTAAATTTCTTATAGTAATGCTACCGTGACATCCAACTTTTACATTAATATCTACGTTATATTATATATATTATATTGTTCATCGTATTTATATAAATACAGTGACATTGTTTTTTTTAAAATAAAAAATATATATTATAAACAGTAATGTAAATAGTGTTCGTAAACAATATTTTTAAATAATAATTTTTAATAGTTAAATAAAGTTGGTTAATGTAATATAAATAATTAGTTAATAAAGTAACGAAGTTAGTTAATAAACGCTTAAATGCTAAAAATGATTTTTAGTTTGAAAATACAGTTGGTTAATAAAAAGTAAAAATTTGATTAATAAAACTGATTAATAAACTTTTAGATATTAAAAACAATTTTTAGTAATAAAATAAAATTGATTAATTAAATATAAAATGTTAATTATGAAATGATAAAATTGATTAATCATATAATTTTATATTGATACCACTTAATCCATATATATATATATATATATATATATATATATATATATATATATATATATATATATATATAATTATTATTACAATATTTTACTATTTACTATATTGATAAACTGGATTGTTGATATTACATAAAAATAATTATGAGATAATGATCATTCCTTTTCTATTGATATATGTTGAATTATTTGTGGCGTTTTGATGGTGAACTATTTTTTTATTGATATGGAATAAATTATGTAAGTGTCTTATAGACAAATTGATTATATCTAAATCATATAAGGCTAACAACATGCATTTGTCCATTTTTGTTTATTGAAATTTTTTTGTTTTTGGAATTTGTATTTTTGGGATATTTGTGGCGTTTTGAAATTTTTATGTTTTTGGAATTGATGTCTTAGAGACAAGTTGGAATAGTTAACTTTATGTTATCCCCATTACAAAGGAACATCTATCCAGTTCTATAACAAGTGGACTATATCCCTCCGCATAGTTCATAAAGCCTCACATTAGATAAGAAACGAAATGAACCATGTTCGCCTAATTTCCGGTTGTACTGCTTACAATAATCTCATCTCCGTCAAGGTAAAATGTTCTTGCTTCTCTCAATTAATCTTCAAATGTAATCATGAATGACAATAACACTAATAAAGATATCGATTACAGGATAACTTGAAAAAGGAAAAGAACCAGTTGAAGCCCATTCCTACAAAGCCAAAACAAATAAACTTTTTCACCACCCTGGCTCCTCCTCTTGCAGCTGCATTCCTACTTTTTTCTCCGATTTGCGTCACTCCAGGTTAACTCCTTTCTAAAATACTAAATTGCCCCTGCGTTTCTACTGCCCCACGCCAATCACTTTTCTCGTTCTACAGTTTCAAGTGCCCAAACATTAGATATCCTAAGAGGAGCTTCGTTGTTCCAACAAACATGTATTGGATGCCATGATGCAGGTGGAAACATTATACAACCAGTAAGCATCGTCCTCTTCAATATAACATCTCTTAACGTTCTAGCAAATGCAAATTAATTTTTTTTCTTACAGGGATCAACCCTATTCACAAAGGATTTGCAAAGGTAAGGGAAGAAACCTGAGAACTCTCATTGTTAATTTCTCTGAAATAATAATCCAACTGTTGCTGTACAGAAATGGAGTTGATACAGAAGAAGAAATCTACCGTGTCACATACTACGGCAAAGGAAGAATGCCGGTGAGATATATTGTAATTGTATAGACTTGAGAATTTAGAGTTATAGCTCTTTGCCTTAATGATTATCCATCATCCTTCATAGTATATGTTTAGGGGCTTAAATTTGCACAAGTTTCATGCAGGGGTTTGGTAAAGAATGCATGCCTCGAGGGCAGTGTACGTTTGGAGCTCGTTTGGAAGATGAAGATATCAAGATATTGGCTGAGTTTGTCAAGTTACAAGCTGATAAAGGGTGGCCAAGTGTAGAAACGGAAGAAAAATGATGTAGCAATTGAAATATCGCTTCCATCCTTTCCTAATGAATTGCTACAAAGTCATTGATATAATCGATTTATGTACATTAGTATTTTTTATAGGTTTTGGAATTTTCTGATAACAATTTTTGTGGTGCATTTAAGAATAATTAAGTAGATAAAATGACTAATGTGAAGTGATAATATTTAAATAGAGTGAACAAATATTATTGTGAAGGGATATGGATATCATTATGAATGGGGTATGGATAACATTTATTAATCAAAAATGTTATTGTAAAGGATATTGTAGTTATATATTTGTCAGTGTTTAAAATGGGGGCGTCCTCGCTAAGAATCGTATCGCCTAGGCGATGATCTAAGGATTCGCCTTCGGCAATAATGCCGTGTATAATGTTGTTATTCAAAGGAGAGAGATAGTCCATCACCACCACATGAAGATTAGGCAGTCAATAATCCATCCTAATCAGGAGGGAGCAGTTGCCGCCATACAGGGTTACCCAAAACTCCGGCCTCTATAAATATACCTTTCTCAGAGGAGGAAAAAAGTGATAAGTCATTACATACTAAGCATAACGCTTAGACCGATCATTACACCGCTCACACACTTATTACAAGCGCATCATCCATCAATAGAATCTTTCACTTCATGTGAGAAGGATTCCTAAAACCACCACAAAACACCCCCGCACAGGACTTCTCATAGTCGTGAGCAAGCCCTAACCGCCCAAATTGTTATAAACCTACTAAGATCTCTGAATCTCCCTGCCCTTGTAGTAGAAACACACACATATGTACTTTTTGACTAGTATAGTGGCGCCCTGGAAAAACTAGTGCCACACAATCTTCATCATCACCTTATCTGCAGCGACCCTTTACTCTAATTCCTAGCATCTTTCGACCATGGTTAATAGAAGAGCTTCATCCCCTACGCTAGAAGGTACCAACGGTAGCGATGATGTTAACGCCTAGGCGGAGATGTGTGCTGCCATGGACGAGTTATTTTTTCCCCTCTTTCAATGAATATTTAATTCTCTCTATCCTCATTTTAATTTCTTTCATTTGGTATCACTCTATGATTCTTTTTTATGACGAAAAAGAGGGAGAAGAGTAATGATTTTGATCGTTTTTATTCAGTTGATAATATCCCATACATTAATCAAAAGGGAAGAAAAAAATGATCTAAAGAGTGTGTTAACATTAACATTCTGAAGAGGTCAATAATAATGACAAATTTAATCTAAAAACTATGAAGATGAAGTAGTTTTTTTCCAAACAAACTTCAATGAATCAAAATTCTAAGTCTTGTACTCGGAGGGAGCCTGCAAAACTCACTTGATACTTTGAGATAAAGAATTTTTGATAGTATAGAATACTCAGAGAAAGCTTGCAAACTTTTCTCAAAAGTTTTTAGCATATTTATCTGAATTGAACCTTCATTGAAACCAAAATTATTACAAATCTTAAACTCAGTGGGAACTTGCGAACCTCACTCTGGATATTTAAGTTGAAGATATACTTTTGAAAGTATATAACTCAGGGGAAGCTTACAAAACTATCTCTGACATTTTAAAATATGTTTAGCTGTTGTACCTCAAAATTTACCTTCATGTTTTTAACCACAATTGGTTTGTACTTCACGTTCATATACATTCGTATGCTAGGTCATACATTCATAATCATTCATTTGCATAAGATACTAAGGCACAAGATCAAGGCCTTTTGAGGAATTAAGGTTCTCTACTGGGCTGAGGTTCCTATTTCATTGGAAGATTAATTCGACTGGTCTTTTCATATTAAGTTTTGGATTGTCATCACGAGGCTATTCTTATCAAGGTTCTATCACACCTCAAAAATTCATTCAAGAAACGCGACCCTCGCGCTAAAGGTGCGAAAATGCGGTTCGACAGAGTCGCCACCGAATTTTATTTATCCCAAATAAACGGGAAAGGAAAATATCGAGAAAACCTTTTAGAACGAAAGGGCAGGAACGATGGTCGTTGCAACCGATGTTCCAGGTTTAGGAGTCAGTTACGCAAGGGGAAGGTATTAGCACCCCTCACTTCCTTTGTACTCAACAGGAACCTCTTAGTACGATTTGCGATGAGCGTTATCTAAGCTTGTTTTTTTTCTTCTTAATGATAAATGTGAATTGGTAGGATAAAAGGATAACGATGCTAAGGGATAAAAGGTGGTTATAGGATAGGGTGCTCGCCAAGGATTGGGGCACTTGTGCCTACGTATGCTCATTCGGACGAGAATGAGAAATCAGAGCTTCGTAGTTCGACTACAAGAAAGGTTAAGGGGGAAACAAAAGATGGAGGGAGGGTAGATGCAAACTGATGGAAAAAGAAAAGGTAGCTCGCCAAGATAATCGCAATCTTGTGCCTACGTATCTTACATTCAGGCGAGAATGAAGAATCAGAGCGTCCATAGTTCGTGGAGACGACCATGAAAAAATGAAGGGTTGAATTGAGTTTGAAGTTTGGTTGAGAAGCGAAAGATTGACTGATAAGCAACCCAAGGGGCGTGCCTCGAGAGTTGTCACTCAAGAATCCAAGGAATGCAAGATTCCAAGAATTCAGTTCTTTCAGGAGTTGATTAGAAAGGTTTCGAGAAAGGTTGAACATTTTGAATTCGAAAGAGTGAATGAATAACAACTCAAGGGGTGTGCCTCGAGGCTATTCATTCGGAAACTCAAGGAATGCTAGACTCCAAGAATATCTTTCTTTCGTAAGTTTGATTATGAAATATGTTTGAATAAGAATTAGGTGTTTTAAGACGAAATGGTGAATGAATGACAACCTAAAGCGTGCGCCTTAAGAGTCATTCATTCAAAGATTTGAGGTGTGCTAGACTCCAAGAATCTTCTTATTTCATTATTTGTTTAAGAAAATAATTTGAAAACGATTAAATTAGATTGGTTGCGAAAAAGAGGTGGACTGCGAGGCAAAAGGCACTCGACTTACAGCTTGACTTAAAATACCACTTGACGTTGGATCAAGGTGTCATACCCCAAAATTTACCCTTAGATTAGTAGTTTCATTTCGCATTTCATCTCATTCTGCATTGCATTTTATCTAACCGCTAACCGGTTTGCCCAGTCTGTCGGTTTTTGCAGGAAAATCACACTGTGCAGCTTTAATGTATGAAGGGCAAAAGGGTCATTAATTTACAGCCTGCTGGCAATTAATGAAGCACAGTCGTCATCAGGAATTCCTCAAACGGTTAGGGTTTCAATATCCGGGTCATGTGATTTTATGTGACAATGAGCTGAATCTTACGACAATATTGACGTCAGGTTTCTCGTGACACAGTACATTTTATTCAAGAGCCGAGACTTAGTCATCAGTTAGATTTCAGAAATGTTGTTTGCTTCCTAAACCATATGGAGCTAAGTGCGTTGCAATATAAGTGGATTCAGGTTAAATCGGTGCGATAATTTGCTTGGAAGAATTTATTCTAACGGACACACGTTTTCCCGCTTTATGCTAGTTACCAGTCGATTTTAAAGGAATAGTGAAATTTCGGTTCGCATCGAATTTATAAGGAATATCTGTTGGTTTGATCACAATTATCAGTCGGGCTAATTCAGATTACGGAGCTAGATTATTTGAGATACCGTTTGAGTTCTAAATGCGGAGGACAATTCGTTTCGCCACTTAATGGGATTTCTCTACTTATTCGTTCAAAGCCATATTCACTGATGTTATTATCGGGTACGAATTAATTCGCAAAGGGATTTGTTTGAACTCAGGAATTACGTCGGATGAAATTTAATTCTATGAAGTCGGACGTTGAGACGCTAAATTTTTAGTCAGAGGAATTTGGTCAGAGGAAAATTCATGTTATTTAGAATTGGACTTTTCTGTTTCTCTGGTCAAAGGTGATATTCACCAATGTTCATTGTTGAATACGGATTAAACGTCAGAGATTAGTTTCGAACTCATCAGTTACGTCAGATTTAAATCATGCAAGATGATTAATTATCAAATTCGGAGTTTGGAATGTCAAAGCTTAATCAGATAATTTTAATTGGATGAATTTAATCAGACGAACTTATTTGGATGAGTTTGATCAGATGAATTTAGTCGATTGAATTTAATCGGATGATTTCTATCGGTTGAACTTAATCGAATGAATTAGTTGCTTCGGATGAATTTACGCGGAGAAATTTGATCGGGAATTCAAATCAGTTTATTAAGAAAAATGGAATTTATTTATTTAAATTCTACATTTTATTACAATATATAAAGATGATTACAATTACAAATCCATTTCTAATTATTTCCCTAAAATCCTAATTGTCTTCGTGCCGATCTTCACTTCGACTTTTCAAACCTGCAAAACCAACAACACATGGAAACAATTGTTAAATTGTTGTTAGAATTAATCAAAAATGGTTTTTGTTTGTGATTTCGATACCCTTAGTTAAATTTCATCATCGGGTACGTTGGGAGGGGTAACAAAAAAATGCCACCGCATCCCCCGACTTTTAATTTTCGACCCCGGCACAAACCCGACAATATCTGTTCAAGTTTGTTTCTGAGAGAGAGAGAGAGAGAGAGAGAGAGAGAGAGAGAGAGAGAGAGAGAGAAAGTGCTTTTGGCAAAAAAAGTGATTATTTGGAAAAATGATTTTTCTGTTTCTGCCAAACAAGCCAGAAAAAAATCCAGATCCAAAACTATATGGATATCCAAACAAGCCTGCAAATCCGTAACCCCATAATATGGATATCCAAAGAACCAAAACAAGATCATCAAATAATAACAAATAACCATGAATCCGCAAATAAACAGCGCATTAAATCTACGGAACTGAGTCAAAACAGATCAAAACGGTGTGAAAAACGCAACAAGTCCGTAAGCTGCTTCAACAAAAAATCCTTAAAATCACCTGGGTCCAAACAAAATAACAAACAACTCTGTAAGTTCCTCCATCTCAATAACCAATCAACAGAAAAATCATGAAAACCATAACCACAACGCAAAACCCAGGCCCAAAAATAT